TCAACTGCACCAACTGCACAATCAAGCTTAATTAGTTAAACTCTTTAAATAGTCAGAGTAGCTAAAATGAGTCAGTTGGTTAAAGAGTAAACTAAGAAAGACACTTGGATTTCAGGAAATAATATATGTAAAAGCCAAAATTACCGCATAATAATAACTACACAAAATCACTGATATCTGGTAAAAATGCCTGAAAAGCCCTAAGTACTGTGTTACTGTCTTAAATAGTTAAACGACTTTAGCTAGATTGTGCAGTTTGTGCAACGGAACCATTTAATCTAGTTATGCATTTTGTGCAGTTAATCCATTTGTGCAGTTGAGCCATTTCAACTATCTCAACCAAATAAGAAAGATTTTTCAATCTGTGCAGTTCAATTGCCTTACCTGGTTTGATTATTTTACAAGTCGAATCAATTAAAATAATATAACTATTTTAAATACTTCAAGAAACTTAACTACGTTGTGCAATTTGTGTCGTTTATTCATTGAAGTTAATTTGACCATTTAAAGTACCCTAACCAGGTGAGATAGATTGTGCAATTTTTCCCAGTTGACCTTTGACTGTTAAACTAGATGAATCATTTCACCTTGATTGCCAAAATTGTGCAGTTGAACTGGTTAAACTAGTTATGCATTCTGATCAGTTCAACCATTTAAGCTAGTTTGACAATGTGAACTACTTCGACCAATTAAGATAGATAGTGCAATTTGTGCGATTTTTCTCAGGTTTGATTAGTTTAACTAGTTAGAATAATCAAACTAGATTAATTGGTTCATATGATTAAGTAGTTGAACTAGTCAAGCTTCACAAATAGCACAATGCATTTTTATGATTTGAAGTAGTTTAAAATAGTCGAACCTAAATGACAAAAAGATTCTAGTGCACATCATACTTTTGCGTTTTGTTTAGTTGAACCATTGAAGCTAGTCTGACTATGTGAACTACTTCCACCAACTAAAAGAGATTGTGCAGTTTGTGCACTTTAACTGTTATTGCTTGATTGACATTTAGCCGGTTGAACCATCTGGGCTACCTATTGGTCTTATCCAGTTTAAACATTTCTGTTAGTTCTAAATTTTGTCTTGTTGACCCATATAAGCTGGATCGACCATTAAACTTTTTTAAGGAATAAAGATATATTGGGCAATATTTGTAGTTTAACTGCCTTTGCTAGTTTGCCTATCTAACCAGTTGAACCATCTCAGGTAGTTTGTGTAGTTCGTGCAGTTACGCCAATTAACCTAGTTATGGCTTTTGTCCAGTTGAACTACTTAGGCTACTTTGACTGTGTGAACCACTTCGACCAATTGAGGTAACTTGTGCAATTTGTGCAGTTTATTTGTGTCCGCTTGTTTGACTATTTAAGCAGCTAACGCATTTAAGTCAGTTTGTGAAGTTTGTGCTGTTGAACTGATTAAGTTCTTCACGCATTTTCTCCTCTTAAACCATATTAGCAGGTTACGGATTTTGTTAGTTTAGCTAGTTTGACAAGACAGTGAAACTGCACAGATTGCAATATCTTTGTTAATTGGTTGAAGTAGTTCAAATAGTCAAAGTGGTTGATATGGCTCAACTAGACAAAAAGCATAACTATCTTATCGGTTCAACTGCACGAACTGCACAATCTACCATCAGTGGTTCAACTGCCAAGTAGCTAGGATGGCTAAACTTAGCTTAGGGTTAGAGTTTCATTTGACCAAAAACATAACCAGCTTAAATAGCTCAAGTGATTAAGTAGTCAAACTAGCAAGGAGACGGTTAAACTGAAAAAATTGCATACAGCGGAAACAGTCAAACAGCACAAAATGCAGAAAGTAGCTGAGTTGGCTCAATTGACTGCTGTGGACAAAATCCACCAAAAAGCTAAATTGGGTTAAATGGTTTAAGCAATCAAACAAGTGAAACAGTGAAACCCCCAAAAAACTGGACAAATTAGCTAAATTGGCTTGTTTGCCACTGAATTGCGCTATTTTATTTGTGCCGTATCAAGAATGCTTTTTGCCTGTTTGCAGCTAATCACGCTGGTTTAAACTTTATCTCATTTAATGTAACGTTTTTGCCATTTCTTTGGCCAAATTACACTTTTCTCAGCTTTTTCGCACCAAAACATGCTTTCGTTTGTTTGCAGCTAAATTAGGCTGTTCTGGGCTTTACCTCACGAAAAGCAACATTTTCCTATTTTTATTGCTAAACTAGTCTGTGTTTCGCTTTATGACACCGACAAGACATTTCCGTTTGTTTGTCGCAAAATTTGTGCCGTTTTAACTTTACTTCACTGTAGACTAAGTTTTAAGCTTTTATGCAGCTAAACTACGCCCCTTCCAGATTTATCAGACTGAAAACGATTTTTTGCTTGTTGCCACTGAAATGAGCTGTTTTAGCTTTATCACCACACCCAAAAAAGGTTTTCTGCCTGTTTTCAGTTAATCACCTGATGTTAGCCAAACCACGGGCTTTCCTTTTTCGTCGCTAAATCAAACTGTTTTTAGCTTATTGAACCGGAAATGTTTTTCTTTTGCTTGTTTGCTTTTGAGTTACGCTATTTTTAGCTCAAGTGCACTGAAGAAATGCCTTTGCACCTTGGTAGCTAATCACGCTGGGTTTTGCTTTATCTAGCTCAGAACAACGTTTTTGCTTTTTTGCTACTAAACTACGCTGTTTTCAGCTAGTTTTACGCTAGTTTGATTAACTAGGATAGATTGTGCAATTTGTGCAGCTTAACTTTTATCGCTCGAACGCACAGTTCAAATAAATTATTTTTGTAGTTGATGCGCTGGGCTTTGCTGGTCACAACACTGGTCAGTTGAACATGTTAAGTTGGTTATGTATTTTGTCACCTGGAACAATTGTAGGTGGTTTAACCATTTAGAAAAATCTAACCAGTGGAAAGAGATTTTGCAATTTTTGCAGGTTTCCTGTTTTCGATAGTTTGACTAACTGGTTAAATTGTCAAACCAGAGAAGATAGTTAGATACAAAGGTAGTTCAGATGGTCAAACTGCACAAATTGCACAATCCATCTTAATAGGTTCATATTGCCAAACTAACTTAAAGGCTTTAACTGGACAAAATGCATAATTAGCTCAATAGGATCATCTGCACTAACTGCATAGTCTAGCTTAACTGGTCGAAGTAGTTCACATGGTATAAGTAGCTTATTTGCTTCAATTGAAAAACAATGGATAACTAGCCTAATTAGTTCAAATTCACAACCTGGGGTCAATTCAATAAAACTTTTACACTTGTATTTTACACGTTGGACCGTTGCTTTTACAAGCGCGCAAGAAATCCAATTCAATAACTGTCTTTACAAGCCAAAGTTACAAGTGTCCGACTTGTACAGGTGTAGAGCTACACGTGTAGAATGTGAAATTAGGTCAGTTCAATAAAACGTTTTACAGGAGTCCAACTTGTTTTTGGCCTGCGGTCCACTTGTAAAATGCAAGAGCAAATTACAAGTCATAAGTCACTTGTAAACTTCGAGAGCAAATTGTTGTTGGCCTCATTTAAAGAGATAGCATGTCATCTTCGAGTGAAGAAGAAATAGATGAACTTTTGAGAAATAGAATAAGACGACAGCCGAGGAATTTTGAGGAAAGACGGCTTTTCGACGTAGAAAATCCACGCGAATTTCGACAGAAGTTTCGTCTCCCAGTCGATGCATTCGAACATTTACTGGCAGCAGTGGGTCCGCAATTGGAACACAGAACACGGCGCAACAGAGCGTTGACGGCGAGACAACAATTGTTAGTATTTCTCCACTTCCTTGGTACGAACTCGTTTTACCATGTGATGCATTCGTGCCATGGAATTTCAACATCAACGGTTTGGAATGTCATAGACCGCGTTACGCCGGCAATACTAAGTTTACAGCGAGAACTTGTTTGTTGGCCCAAGCAGCCCCTTCGAATCGCTTCAAAGTTTCATGATATAGCTGGGTTTCCTTGTGTGTGTGGCTGGTTGCGTGGATGGAACCCATGTTCTGGTAAATCCCCCGGCTGGTGATGAAGATGCATACGTGAATCGGCATCATACGAAATCCCTCAATGTGGCCATGGTTTGCGACCCAGATTACTCAATATATTTCTGTAGCAGCCGATGTCCTGGGAGATGGCATGACTCGCGGGTTCTCAAAGAGAGTACTCTGTGGACTGCATTTGAAGAAAATGCTCAGAGGCCATTCCCTGGAGCAGTAATTCTAGGCGACTCTGCCTACTCGTGCAACAGCTGACTGATTCCTCCTTTCAGGGGAGATGTAGAAGGTGCTCGCCTCAGGTTTAATGAGGCGCACAAGAAAACCAGAAGCACCAGAGAGAGCCAATAGTGTTATAAAAAAAAGATTCTACACTCTACAAACAGGCTTAAGAGTCAGAAGTATGGAACGAGCTGCTGAACTTATCCAGTGTGCAGCCATACTACACAACATTTGCATACTATTTAACGATGATGGTGCTGATCTTTTGGATGACGAAGATCTGGAAATTGATGAAGGGGAGTCTGCCGAGCAAGACGAGGGGCAGGAGGACAGACGACAAGAGCTCTTGGCGCATTTTCTTTGAATTAAAGTGAAACAATGTCGATCGATGTGAAATCAAATTGTTAAGGGCCTTAAAAACATTTAGTTTACATTTCTTACTCGGTCTTCATTATTTGCAGATATTGTATTTATAAAACTATAATGATATGCTTAGGACGATCCCCTAGCCCAAACATGAAGTTGAAAAAGAACAGAAGCTGTCATTGAATTCATTAAACCATGGTATGAGCTATGTCATTGAAGTTATTTCAATAATTATTGATATCCTCTTGTCCGTTGCCCTCCCTCTAATAATTAAACAAATGATTGCAAACCACCAACCTTCTAAGACTAATTGTTTTTATTAACGGCGTGATTACTTTCTAACAAAGTGATACAATTCTGTAAATTATTGACATTATTAGCTTTCATTCTCTTGATTGCACTTACGCAATTCTCAAACTTAACAGTCAAATTATTTCTATTAATCCATCGCCTCGAAATCTTTCTTCATTATTTTAATCTCCAAGGACAACTTTGAACACTCTAAAAGTAGTTTTCTTTTCCTAATTCGTAATATGTCTTCTTCTAATTCTGCTGTGGAACTGACAGTGGCCCTTTTCAGCCCCTTCTTCGATTTGATGGTAGGCTTTTGGAATACTGATGTTTTGTCTTCTTTGGCTTCCTTTGGTTTGGCTGAAGGTTTTGTTTCATGCTTTGCTTTTGCATCTAAATGAACAAAAGATTGGTAGATACATGAAAATCTCATCTTTAAACTCATCGCGTTTGAACGAAGCTAAGTTGCGATTAAAGTAAGAAAGAAACATTTTCATTTGGGAACGCGATAATCGCGCCTGACCTAGCTTCAAATTGACAACTTGCTCGCAGAGAAACGAAAGAAGGACATTTTGATTTATAAATGTTGTTTCTGGTTATTCTAAATTATCTCACCTTCGGTCTCAGGTGTAGTGCAGACAACCTCTTCACTCTCAAACACAATTGGTGTGTCTTCAACCTTCACAGGCTCCAAGTTTGCCCTCTCTCTTCCAAGTATATCAAGGACTGTATCGTCCAGCTCTGTGAGTTCACTCCCTCTTGCACCGGTCTTTTTCGAGTCACTGACTTTTTTTATCGTACCGCGGCGAATGTTTGCCCAGATAACATCTCTCAGGGTTTTTATGTTGTCGACGTTCGCTCCAACACCATTCAGTTGTCTTAAGATACTTTCCCACGCCTCCTGTTTCGCCTTTTTCGTTACAGTCGAGGAAAATGGAGCCAAAAAAACTGATTTGTTATCCCTCACAAGCTGCGCTAATAGCAATTTCTGGGATTTCGACAACATGCTGAAACGACAGGGAAAAAATCGACGCGGTCTACGAAATAAATTTTCCGCACTGAGCTGAAATAATTTGCACTTGTAGTTTACATATCCACTCAGTGCTATTTACAATTGTACGGTTACAATTGTAATTAACACTTGTAGTAAGACTGCTTGTACACGTGTAAATTCTAGTGTTTGAATTTTTTTTATTGAATTCTTGTATTTACAAGTCGGATTTTACATGCGTTTTTTACAACTGTAGAATCTACAAGTGTAATTTCTTTATTGAACTGACCCCTGGACAATCTAGCTGAAATGGTTAACCTGGTTCAACAGTCAAACTGAGGTGAATATGGAAGTGATCTTCGCAGTTATGAACACTACTTAAGCCGTAGTGAAAAGAAGGCCTGAAAAATTTCAGGCCTTTACGGGATTTGAACCCATGACCTCTGCGATGCCGGTGCAGTGCTTTAACAGCTGAGCTAACAAGTCAACTGGGAGCTGATCACCGTGTTGGTTCCAAATAAACCCGTGAAGTGGTGAATAAACGGCTGTGAATGTATGAAAGTCATATATTTGAGCTGCGGATAAAGATGTGAATATGAAAGCTATCTTCGCTGTTATAAACTGTTAGCTCAGTTGAGCACTGCAGATTCATCAAACCGACAAAGAAACAGAGTGGTGGGTTCCTTTGTACATTGCATGCAAGTATTGGTATGCCCTTGTTGTTAAAAGCATTAACTGGTAATGGTATTCAAGGTTGTAGCAGATATTTTAAAAACCAGTTTCTGACATTGGTTATCCTTTCTAATCGAAGCAGTCCGTCCGAACATCTTAGGTCACGTGATTTTACCAAGGTTCATTCCAGTTCAGGCCAAGCCTCGGCACTGAGCCTTTTCTTTCGCTTCGTTGATACTTCCCTTGTATATGGTTAAGGAACCAGTTACTGGGCTGTCGTTTGTCAAGGAACTAACGAGGAAGTTAAAGGATTGAAAATTGTGTAAACTCATGGATTAATGGTTATGGTAACGTGATTTTTGCACTGTAAACCACCGCATAATGTCAAGTGTTTTGCTGATCTAGACGAATAAAGAATGGATTTTACGGCTGATACAGTTTGAGTGAATTACACATGGAAGGACACAAAGGAGGCAAGGAGCGAGATTTCCAAAGGAAAATCCTTTCGATGAAGAGAAGGATGCCATCTGGCGTGAAATGGATCTGGAAAACAAATAATCTCGTCGTTGGTCACCAGGTGCAATATCTCCACTGACCGGTGCTGTAGTTGCTGAAGAAACTCACGTGGACGCGCGAAAGAACGGAAAAGGGTAAGCAATTTGAGACTCAAAGGTTAAAGGAAAATCGGAAAACTGTACTCGTTAACTTAACTAAGCAGATAAACATAATCCCGCCCTTGTTGGCAGATTTTGAGAGCGAGAAACAAGTGCCTCCTGAAGTTGAGCAATTCGATAAGTTACTTGTTAAAATGCAAGAAGCACATGATATGTATCTCAGTTGCCCGAGTGATGATGGTGAAATTAAATGAGCTCAGCAATGGTATGAGTCGTGATAAGGTTTGTGTTTCAATCAAAGCAAAGTATTGTTGAGTTTCTGGGTGAGGCAAAGAAGTTACGTCATGATTCACATAATACACGCAAGGTGAAATCTAATCATCCGGTCACTCAAAGCCCTCCACTTTCTCAACATCATCCGCTAAGTTAAAGTTGATTGAAGCAAAGACTAAGGCTACAGCATTAAAGGTTAAGGCAAAATTCTTCTGGAGAATGCAAGCGCTAAGAATGGCCTCTGAGGAGCTTGAACATCGGCAGCAAGTTGCAGAGGTAAGGGCTGACGAGAAAACACGAGCAGTTTGATGAACAACAAGTCATTGATGGCATGAATGATTATTTGAAAAATGTACCAACTAAACTCACTTCCATTCCCATCCTATCTGAGGCACAACTTAATGGTCAGTCTACACTAAAGGTGCCTTCGGTGAAATTACAAAGATCAGCTATTGTCAGGATCATTTCAACGACCACTTCTGTAACCACGCCCATCTCGGTCAGTGCTGCTAGTATGAACCCAATTGCCCAACCGTTTGATCCAAGAAACCTTCGCATTAATTGAAATTGAAGAAGACAATGGGATTCCCCTCACTACGAAGCTATATCATGACGACAAGCAAGGATCTATGTACGTTTACAGAAAGGATTCAAGCCCTGTAGAAAGTACAAGACCAGATCAAGACTATTTTGACATTCAAAGGAAACAAGCAGAACTGTCAAAAATGATTTTTACACAATAGGCCAGAAGTCTCTCACCTATTCACAAGCCACCTATGTTCTCTAGAGATGTGATGTCATACCCATCATTCATAGTAGCCTTTGAAGTTCTCATAGAATCTTAGGTAGATAATCCTAGTGAGTGCTTGTGTTTTTTGGATCAATACACTAGCGGAAAGGTAAAGGAACTTTTTCAGGGCTGTTTACAAATGAAGAGTAAAGATTCATAGAAAGTGGCTAGACAACTTTTGCAGAAACACATACAAGGTTGCAAGTGCATCCATCGAGCTGGCCCGCTGTGAAAACTAATGACGGAACAGGGCTGCAAGAATTTTCTATTGCCCTTGAGCAAGCAAGGAACGCCATAACAGGTACGCATTACATGAATGACTTGAGCACAGCCAATGTTCTGCGTCAGTTGTGGGAAAAGCTGCCGAGATACCTTGGCAGTAAATGGACGGAAGGAGTTGGCAGGATTAGGAGTAACAAGGGACAAGCTGCCAACTTCAACAACTTATGCCAGTTTGTGTCCGAACAAGCCGATCTGGTGACAGACCTAGTCTACTCAGAAGGAAGGCATCAGCAGACCAACTGATACAGTTGACGAGTACCGTAAGTCGGGCTAACAGAAGACTAGGAGAGGAGAGATGAAACTGAAAACAGTGAAATTTAGCAACAAAAACACAGAAACATCTTTTCGGTGTCATAAAGCTAAAAACAGTGTAGTTTAGCAACAAAAAAAGAAAAAAGGTTCCTTTCCGTGAAATCTTCCCTAGAGCAGCCTAATTTAGCTGCAAAAAAACGAGAACATGTTTTCGGTGCGAAAAAGCTAAGAAAAGCTTAGTTTAGTAACAAAAATAACCGAAACGTTGCATTAAGTGAAATAAAGCTAAAATCAGGGTGATTAGCTGCAAAGAGACAAAAAAAAACTTTTTTAATGTGACAGACCTAAATAGAGCGTAATTCAGTGGCAAAATAAGTCAATTCAGTCAGTTTGTCCAGTTTTTCTTGAGTGTCACTGTTTTCGCTTGTTTGGCTGCCTAAACCTTTTGACCCAATTGAGGTCTTTGGTGAATTTTGTTTATAAGAGCCGATGGAACCAACTCAGCTACTCTCTGAATTTTGTGCCGTTTGACTGTTTCCGCCGTTTGCAATTTTTTCAATTCAACTATCTCCTTGCTAGTATGACTATTTAGCCACTTAAGCTGTTTAAGCTCGTTATGTTTTTGTCAGTTGAACCATTGAAGCTAGATTGTGCAGTTTCTGCAGTTGAACTGACTAAAATAGTTATGCTTTTCGTCTAGTCGAGCCATATCGGCTATTTGAACATTTCAACTACTTCAACCAATTAACAAAGGTTTTGCACTCTGTGCAGTTTAACTGTCTCTAGTGGTTTGACTATTCCAACTGTCGAATCAATGAAAATAGTTTGACCATTTAACTTCTTCAAGCAATTCAGATAGACTATGCAGTTTATGCCGTTTATTCCTCAGCTAACTCTATTTTGACTGTTAAATCAGTTCAATTATTTGAGCTAAATTGTTAAAATTTTGCAGTTAAATGGATTGCGCTGGTTATGCACTTTGTTCAGTTGAAGCATTCAAGCTAGTTCAACCATGTGAGCTGCCTCGAACAATTAAGCCAGATTTTGCAGTTTGTGCAGTTGATCCTATCAAGCAAGTGATACATTTTCCACTCAAAGAATTTATGATAGTTTGACCATATGAATTAATCCATTATTGATATAGATTGTGCAGTTTGTACAGTTTAACTGTCATCGCTCGATTCATATTTAGCCATTCGAACCATTGAAGCTACCTATGCGTTTTGTCCAGTTTACCCATTTCAGCTAGTTCTGAATTTTGTCTACTCAAAAGAATTTAAGCCTGATTGACTATTTGAACTAGTCTAACTAGTTGACATAGATTCTGTAGACTGTACAGTTATACTGTTTGCTATGGTTTAATTAACTGTTTCACCGTATGAACTATCTAACCTAGTTATATATTTTGTCCGGATGAACCTTTTGAGCTAGTTTGATCATTTGAACTACTGCAACCAACGGAGATAGGATTGTTAAGCTTGTGTACTTACCTATCTTCGCTGGTTTGACTATTTCACCTGATAGTAAAACTGTCAAAACGAGCTAAATTGCACAAATTGTATAATCTATCTTAATTGGTTGAACTAGTTCCCATGGTCAAAGTAACTTATATTGTTCAAGGGGACAAAATGCATAACTATGCACTTTGTCTACTCGAACAGTTTAAGCTTGATTGACCATTGACCTAGTCAAACCTGTTGACACAGGTTGTGTGAGTTGTGCAGCTATACTGTTTTCGATAGTTTGACTATCTTACCGTTTGAAGTACTTAACCCAGTTATGCGTTTTGTCCTGTTGAGCTTTTAAACTGGTTTGACCATTTTAACTACTTGAATATTTAGCTATCTTTGCTGGTTTTACTATTTAAGCAGTTAGTCAAACTATCAAAAACCGCTAAACTTCCAAAAATTGCAAAATCTCTGTCCACTAGTTAAAATTATTCAAATGGTTAAACTACCTAAAACTGTTCAAAAGGACAAAATGCATAAGGAACTTAATAGGTTCAACTGGACAAACTTTTCAATCAAGCTTAATTGGTTGACCTGGTAAAACAATCAAACTTGCGAAACCAGTGAAACTGTAGAAATTGCACAATCTATACTGGATAGTTGAAGTAGTTAATATGGTCAAAC